GTCAACCCGTCTGTCCGTGCGTCCGTCCGACCGTCCGTCAGTCCGTCCGTCCGTCCATCCGTCAGTCCGTCCGTCCGTCCATCAGTCCGTCTGCCCGTCAGTCCGTCCGTATATCCGTCTGTCCGTTCGTCCGGCCGGCCGTCCGTCCGTCCGACAGTCCGTCTGTCCGTCAGTCCGTCCGTATATCCGTCTGTCCGTCAGTGCGTCCGTCAATCCGTCTGTCCGTCAGTCCGTCTGTCAATCCGTCTGTCCGTGCGTCCGTCCATTCGTTCGTTCCTCCGGCCGGCCGTCCGTTCGTCCGGCCGGCCGTCCGTCCGTCCGACAGTCCGTCCGTCCATCACAACAGGGTAGTATGAACGCGTCTGGTCGTCGCGGTGCGCGTGCGCATGCTCGCTCACACGCGATGCGTCGTCGCCATCGTCTGCGACCCGTGACGGACGACGGCGCGCGCCGTCACGATGTCGGCAGCCCCCGGCGGCGCTCCCCCGCAGAGCAGCGCGCGGAAGGCGTGCCGGAAGTCGCGGTACTTCCACCCGTAGACGACGCAGTTGAGCGACGAGTTTGCGACGCCGAGCGTCAGCGTGACGCTGTAGGCGAGCCGCGCCGACGCTGACGCGGGCCGCGGCGCAGCGTCTCCGTGCGTCAGCGCGGCGCCGACGGCCAGGTAGAGCACGCAGGTGAAGTAGGGCGTCCAGCAGACGAGAAACACGCCCAGCACGAGCGCGAGCAGCTTCGCGGACTTTGTCTCGCGGCGGACGCGCGCGCGACCGTCCGACGCGACGGCGGCCGCCTGCGCGGCGATGGCGCGCCGCTGCCGACGTGCGGCGACGTAGATGCGCGCGTACAGCGCCGCCATGACGGCGACGAGCGCGGCGAACTGCGAGCAGAAGACGCCGACGAGGTAGGCGGGCGGGTAGACGTCGATGGCGCGGCACGGCGCGCCGCGCCGGAACTCGTTCCACGCGTACGGCATGCAGACGAGCGCGGCGGCGTACGTCCAGAGCGCGGCGATGGCGGCGGCGGCGCGGCGGCGCGTCACAAGCGCCGCGTAGCGCAGCGGGTGCACGACGGCGATGTAGCGGTCGACGGCGATCGCCGCCAGGTGGAAGATGGAGACGGCGAGCGGCGCCTCGAGCATCGAGAAGTGGAAGATGCACAGGTACTCGCTGTCGTGCAGCGCCGCCTGGTGGCCGAGCTGGACGGCGTGGACGGGCAGCAGCAGGCCGACGAGCAGGTCGGCGCACGCCAGCGAGACGACGAACATGTTCGTGGGCGTCTGCAGGCGCGGGTAGCGCGCCACCGAGGCCACCGTCAGCGCGCTGCCGAACACGATGGGCGCGGTGAGCAGCAGCTCGAGTACGGTGAACACGCGGTGGTACGCATCGTTGACGTCTGCTGCCGCGGCGGCTGTGTCGTCGTGCGGAGGCGCTGCGGTCGCGTTCCCGAGCGCGCCGTCGTCGCTGGCGTTGAGCAGAAACATCGGACGTGGTCGCCGAGGTGACCGGTTACCGGTCGTCAGGTCGTGTTAGTACAGGTGACCGGTTACCGGTGCCAGTCGTCAGGTCGTGTGAAGTACAGGTGACGTATCACAGCGTCAGCCGTGTGCACAGGACGCGCCGCCGTACGGCGTAGTCGTGTTATAGCTGGTGGGCCAGCAGTTGTGAGTTGGTGTGGGATGAGTGAGGCTTGGTGAGTGGACACGAAGGGCTTGGTGTGTGGAGCAGCAGTAGCAGCAGATACTGGTAGATGCCCCTCAGCCTCTACATGCCAATAATGTATTATCCATTGCATCGCACGCACACAGCACAGTCTAATTACACATTTTATAATTCCACAGCTTCTTAGTCTTAATCCTTCGTCTTTCCCATCCTTCTATTGTCCCGCGAGCTCCTCTTCCTATTCCGGCTCTTCCTCCTGCTCCTTCGCCTCCTCCTCTTATTTGTTCTCCTTCCCGTGTCGCTTCTGCCTTTTTCTTTCGGATCTTTACGGTACACCTCGTTTGCCGGCGCTAATGAGACGCGAGGCATAAGCGAGGGTGTGTCACAGTGCGGCTCCGGTGTGTCAGCAGCTGTGGTCACAGCGTGCACGATTCTTCGCAGTGCGTCACGGTGTATCACGGTTGGTCACGGTGTATCGCGATGGCGTCACGGTGTCGTCACGGTGCGTAACGGTGTATCACTGTGCGTTCGATGTGCGTCACGGCGTATCGCGGTGCGCACCGTGTATCAGGCGTGGGTCACTGCGGTCACGGTATTATCACGGCTGGTCACTGTGCGTCACGTGTATCGCGGTGGTCACGGTGTTATCACGGTGCGTCACGGTGTATCACGCGTGCGTCACGGCCCTGCGGTCACGGTGTTATGGCGGTGCGTCACGCTTGTGTCACGGTGCTACGGCGTATCCGCGGTGGTCACGGTGGTTCAGTGTGCGCCGGCGCGTGATGCATCAACAGCTGTGGACTTCGCGCTGGCTCACGATCAATCACAGGTCTATGAAACCACGCTGCAGTACGGATCAATCAGCTATGATGTGAAGTTACGGACCTGACTCGCGTAGCTTGGGTGCGTGGCCGCTGCTGTGCGCTGCTGCTGCTGCTGTGGTGGTGCTGCTGCTGGTGCTCCTGCTGCTGGTGCTGCGTGCTGCCGCTGCTGCTGCTGCTATGGATGTGGTTGACTGCTGGTTCTGCTGCTGCCCTGCTGGTGCTGCCGCTGCTGGTGCTGCTGCTGCTGCTGCGCTGCTGGTGGGTGGTGCTGCCTGAGCTGCGTGCTGGCTGCTGGTGGTGCTGCGCTGCTGCTGGTGTGGTGCGGGTGCTGCTTCGCTGCTGCTGGTGGGTGGTGCTGCTGAGTGCTGCTGCTGTGATGCCGCTGCTGCTCTGGTGGTGCGTGGCTGGTGTGTGCATGGGCTGCTGTCTGCCTGCCTGTGTTGCCTGCTGGCTGAGTGTGGTGTGTGCTTGATTGCTTGGTGCTGTTGTTCGCTGCTGTGTCGCTGGTGCTGCTGCTGCTGCTGCCTGACTGCTCCTGCTCTGCTTAGTGCCTGATGCCTACTATACTGCGTCATACATAACTATACTGCTACCACTCTACTGCGCGGTTGCCGGTGTAGCAGAATTGCTGTTGTTGTTGCGTGTTGCTTACTGAGCTGCTTTTAACTGATCGCAGTATGTGCGTACACAATACATAGAAGTCGTGATGCAAAATACTGCGGGGTTTCCGGTCATTCCTGGACGCATATACTAGTAGCGATTCTCCTGACAGCTCTCTTGTAAAAATATCGGCGTGAAATGCTAGCGAATGAACGCCGTCGTCAGCTTACTAGTATACGCTAGTGCGGCACTAGTATACCGCCTGCTACTATTAGTCGCTGCTACTAGCTACTACGCCGATTGCGCGTAGCTTGCTTGCGTTCGTCTGCAATTGCAAGTTCTGTGTCATGATCATGCGTGTGGAGCTGCAGCCTCGTTGTTTTTCTCGTCGACGACGTGCGCCATTGTAAGTTAATCGATTAATTAACGTCACGCGCGAACGCATCGTGACCGAAAAACTTAGCGCGAAGCTTGCGCCGTGCCGCGCTCGCGCCCCGCCCTGAACTGATGTATACGAGTTACACTCATTATCAATATCTTATCAAGGAGTAAGATCATATAGGATATAAGGATATAAGTAATCCTATATTATCTTACTCCTGATACGTACTCTATC